CTATAATAAAGCGTTATTTAATTATCATTTTTTGTTTTCTAGCCTCCAGTTCAAGTATTCGGAGTAGAAGGACGATATGCTACAGCACTTTATTCTGCAGCTACGAAACAAAAAACATTAAGCAATGTTGAAAAAGATCTTGTTAAATTGCAAGTATGTGTAATATAAGTTAAATTTTACTTTTAATTTATAATTGAAAATAACTTTATCATAAATAAAAATGTACTTATATGGTCTTATAGGGTCTTATGAAGCAAGATGAGAAACTGAATGAATTTGTGAAGAATCCAACAATAAAACGAAAAGTCAAAGTAGAGGCACTTAAGGCAATTTCTGGAAAAATTAATCTCAGCAAAGAAATTGCAAATCTGTTAATTTTACTTGCAGAAAATGGTCGGCTTGCATATACCAGTGCTATAATTAATACATTTAAAATATTAATGAATGCTAGTAGAGGTGAGGTTGCTTGTGAAGTAGTAACTGCAAAACCACTTGATGCTGATATGAAATCTAAGCTTGAAGTAGCTCTAAAGGGATTCTTAAGTAAAGGTCAATCTATTGTGCTTACTGCAAAAGTTAATCCTTCCCTTATTGGAGGTATGATTGTGTCAATAGGTGATAAATATGTAGATATGAGTGTTGCTACCAAAGTCAAAAAATATACTGACATTATTGCTAGCACAGTATAATCACTTTTTATAACATTGAGTAAAATGAGCAAACATAAAGTACTCATGTAGAGTAATTCATGAGTAATGTGTATATCATTAAACAATAAATTATTCCAAATCCACTTATTCCTAGTAAGAATGTTTGTTTATTTGATTAAACCATTTTATACACAAATAATCTTTATTTCTTTTTATAAGTAAAAGCAACTGATATAAAAAGTGAATTCTTATTTTTTTTATTACATTTGCACATGAAATTTTTCAATATTCATTTTAATATCAACAAAAATTTAAATGCCATTTGAAAAGTATTTTTATTTGAAGTATTAGTTGCTTACAATGTTATTCAAAATTTATAAGCACATTTACTGAGTTTACAAATGTTCAACTTTGAAGTATTGCTATATTAATAAAAGTAATAACTTTCGCAACAATTTCTATTAAGATTTATGTTCTAATACAATTGATATACATATTGTTAATTTCAAATGCCAAAAAATTTGCTATGTTTGATAAAAATGTAAATTGGAATGTTGCATATGACACTGATTATTACACAAAAGAAGTATATATTACTGTAAAATATATTTTAGAATGTGCAATAACACACATATAATACTTGATAATAATAAATCTTCAAAAACAATGATTCAAAATACTCATTACATTTTGTTTCTACAAACTTGTTTGCAGTATTCAACAAATTTGAAATTTATTAAATTTAAAATATAAAATGATGATACCCTATAATGTACAACCTAATTAAAAATTCATTGCAATATTATGCTGGATAAAATATTATTTATGTTTATCCATATAATTAGTATTCACTGGACCGGTTGTAACTTCTTTCTTGCATATAATTAAAATAATACAAATTATGACTAGAAAATACATTATCTAAACAAATTTTAACTTTGTGTGTAAAAATGCACACATAAAATTATTGTTACTTTAATGCAAGCAAAAGTTCATTAAGTGAATGTGCAAAAATAATTTGAAGGCACATCCTTATAAAACGTGAAAGACAAACTATGAATCAAAGTTGTAATAATTTTTATATGATGTAGTTTGTTACTTCAATTGTATAATATCTTACATTGCAACTGGAGGTATACCATTTTTAACTAGAACCCAATCTTCTTCTTCAAGTGTAGTTGATAATATAAATTCAGTTGGTAAAACTAGGAACAAATATTTTCAATTTATACCATAAAAATATAATTATATATAAATCAATACTACAGTTGCTATGAAACTTAATTTCATATTTATTCATACCTGTCGAATGTATCATTTTTCTTCCTTCGACATAATTACTTTGCTGTAAAGGCTCATTTAATTTATCTTGTAGAAGCTTCTTTCTACATTCACCTAAATCTTCCAATTTTTTTATTTCGGTGCGGTAGCTAACATCTTCATCTCCAGATTCAGTTTCTGTATGATCACTGTGTTCATTATATTCATCCTGTTCAGTTTTTTCTTCTGTGGAAGGATCATTGGACTGTATTTTATGATCAGTACTCGGAGTTGTATCAACAGATTGAGACACATTGGAATTAGTAGAGTTAATTTGACTGCTTGTCATATATTTTGACAAATCAAAACCCAAGACATCAGCCAAAAGTTTTTCTTTATCTTCTACATCACGTTGAATTGATTCAAGATTTCTGTCAGTTTTTAATATGAAGTCATCATCAATACTAAGTGTTAGTAAAGAAGCATGAGTTGTCTTTGCAGCATTAGCATTTATTGTGTCCTTATTGAATGCAGAAATATCACAATCAATATCAGATAATGATGAACAATTGCCATTTCCATTTATGGCTTTATTACGTGACTTTTTAATCTTTCTTTCTCGTGTGAATACAACATCTTCAAATTCCTGTTGACTAATTTTTTGAAATATTTGCTTCCTATCATTATATTTTGCATTTTGTTCACTAGTTTTTCTTGTAGAATCATCATTATGTTCTGTTATCCTACTAGTATCTAGTACTTCTACAGCTTCTTCTGCACTTCCAACTGAAGCTGCATCAGAATCAGCAGTAACAATTGGTGCAATTCTAAAAAATAACGTATAACTCTAAATATTTAATATCCATATTATAAATCAATAGAAAATAAATGAATTTTTTTTATTTAGATACTTTACCCTACAGACTGAATAATGTTAGTTGGGTTAATTTTATGAAATGGAATAGCTGGCACTATCGCACTTTCTTTCAATTTTGAAGTCAATTCTAATATACCACTAGTAACTGGTTTACTAATTTCAGCAAATAATAACGACGAATCCAATATGCACTTTCTTTCTAAAAGTTAAACATGTTTATAAAATTTAAATACAAAATCGAAAAAAATATATAACCAAAGTTTCTACCTGATGAAAGCATATTACTCTCAGGGTAAGATGCTATACGTATAATGTTTCTTTCTCCTTCTAACACAAATATTTCATCTTTAGTACAAGCAACATCCGTAATACGACGTAAATCTGTTACAATAGATGTTATAGCAATAGTTTGTGGATTTACTACATATATAATATCATCGCTATATGTAACCAATAAGTCGTCACAAAAGGGTAAAATAACGCCGAATGTAGGTTCTCCACGATTTTTTTTAGAATTTTCTGGTGCTGGATTTAAAAGTTCTACTTCTGTGTAATTAGATCTGACAGCATCCTTAAAGTATGAGAGATTTTATAAAATGATTGATAGAAATAACTTCGAGCTAATAATGCATTCGCATACTAACTTTAAAAATAAGTGTTTTTAATACAGTTCCAGTTTTATCAGCTTGCCATAAACGTAATCCAGGTCTGCTAGCATATATTACTAAATCTTGCACATAATTTTGTCGACAACCAAATACAGCACCTAATTTTCCTAATCTGAAACATACAATCATTGTTAGGTTTTCAGGAATAGTATTATACAATATTTACTAAAAGTTTAATGTTATTTAGATTAAATACTAACGTTTTACGTTCTTTTTGACCAACTTGTGTTACTTTTCCATTCTCATTTCTATTTACTAATATTGTACGCAATATTGTAGAAACTAGTAACAAACCTTGCTGATAACTTAATTGCACTACTGCATACCTTTCATTTAACAATTCTGATGATTTTGACAAATGCTATTAAACAATTTATAGAAACAAGGCATGAAAATTTATAAATCATAAAACTGTTATTTAACTTTTATTACATACCATGTAAAAATCAATTTCAGTATGTACTACTACACCATCTTGATCTCCACTAAATAATTTCATACCATTCTTAGACCATTCAACTGCTGTTACTGCACTATTATGTAAACCACTTATACTATATCTTTCTACCTGTTTTTTCTGCTTTGGTTTTAAACTATCTGGTAATGAATCTGAAGGGGTTTTAGGTATTTGAAACACAGTTACTACTCCATGTTCATTACCAGCAGCAACCATATAATCCACTGTTGATACTACTTGAATACATGTAATTATTGAATTGACATTCTAAAAAAATATATAGTATTTTATATATAACTACAAAACCATCAATTAAGAATGTATTGCAAATAATACCTCACATCGAAGCCTTTGTAAATCTTGTTTTTCTCTGTCAAACCAATATACCAATCCATGATTAGTTCCAATAGCTATAAATTCAGGCACTATATCAATACAAGTGAAATTCATATTGTGTGTAAAAAGTCCAGTTTGAATCTTTGCAGGTATTTGTTGAAGAAGCATAGTAAGTGGAGCCCATTCTCGTAAAGGTCCACCATCTTCACACATGGGTGTTGTCATTGTATTGCTATATGGATAATATTATCTTTTCTTAACTTATGTCATAAAAACAATATATTTAATAAATTGAAATATGCGAAATATAATGTATTACGAATATGACGTAAATGTGTAAATAAATTTTTGAAATACCTTTTGTCACATGAAATTACATAGTACGCTATCATTACCAATACTAAACATAGCGGTGATACTATTATATTAAAAGTAACATGAAATCACTATTCATGATGTCATAATAAATTTATCAAATGACATATCAAATTACCTTTTTACAAAATTATTCCACTTTGCGAAGTATGTTCAAATAATTAAGTCACTTCTTTTTCATCATACTGAATGAAATAATAACGTTTCACTGAACATTATAACACTATCTGTTATTTGACAGCCGACAATTCTTAGAAAGTTTGCCCGTACACGTCTTTAGTTACCATAAACCACATCATGTATAGATAGATGCACTTGTAACAAAATATCATGCACTCTTCAGATTTACCTTTATGGTTAACGTTATGAAATAAAAATGGCATTAATTAATCTAATGCATGTATAATAGAAAATAAATATACAAAGCATATTGATATTCTAAAAAGTAATCGAAAATAATACTTTTCAAATGATGATTTCTACTGACAGACAGATTCCGGCAATTATTTTTTTGTGTACATACTAAATAAATTTCAACGTCATATATAATATTTATTAAAACAAAAATTGTTCCACTTGTGAAGAATTGTGTAAAGTACAAATCGATGTTAAGTAAATGTGAGAATTGCAGTGATGACGCGTGCACTTTACTATCAGTGTGCTTTTAGAATAAGACGCGTTATTCTGTAGAGTGAAAAATAGCTAGAGATATGTGAAAAGAATGAAATTAATATTCAAGAAAATGTTCTGTAGCTAAGAAATAAATTTTTAGGTAGAAAGGCTATAAGCTGATAGCAACGAAAATTTTATCTTTTCTTATTTCTCACATTATTTAAAATTTTTGTATTGAAATTAAGGTTATCAGTAAATAATACATTTTATGAAGTTATTATTTATATTTATTTGCTGTAGCAATATACAAAAAATGGTGCGTTTCATATTTTGACCTCGAATCCCAAAGTCGGTAGATTATAGAGGTTGATAACATTGGAATTTACTTCCGCATAACCGACGAATGTATATTGAATCCTTTTTCATACTTTTCTTTTTTCTGTAAATATTTTCATCAAATTGTATAATGTGCTCATTCCTATAAATTTCATTTTAATAATTGATAGAAAGTAGTGAATTTAATTGCACAAATCACAAAATGATTATTAATCGATTTTATATTGAGATAGAGACGTGAAATTTTGATGTTTGAATTCAATATAAAGAATTGTAAAAAATAATCGAAGCAAAATTTATTTCATATATAAAACGATCAATTAACTTATCATGTACAAACGATATTACGAATTACGATTTTCTTTTCTAACAAACCAAACAAATTGAATTTCACACAACGTTAGGAAAATATAGGACTTACTAACGGGATTTCACGAGAAGTCATTATGAAATGAATTTAATTTAAACATTATAC